GGAGAACAAAGAAGAAGAATAGTCAACCATTTGAAAGCGCTCGAGTTTTGGGTCTTATTTTAAGTCTATTACAAGTTCATTTATAGTGGTAAAATAAGTGGATTGTGTGCTGTACATTTATTGTTCAAATTTATCGTCAACAAGTCACAGACACCTACTGTAAAGAATCTTGGCCCTATAAAACCTGACAAGGGTGAGAGTCAAATAGTGATACATGCTATTGATTACCTACCTATATTCTACTTTTAGTTTGTCAGTTCAAAATTAGGGACAGTTATGTGCAGACATATCAAGTGTAACATTTCAGGAAATTCTAAAACAAACTAAGAAAAGGTATGTTGCTGGCATAGTAATTTCAAGAAAACTGACTAACAGTTGAGCACAGGAAATAAATTTAATAAAAGATAAAGTATAGCTGTGTAAAAAAAAATCAGAATCGTAATATGAAACTAAACTTCGGCTTCTCAGTCCTGAACTAGGGTACACAAATATTCTGTAAAGAAAAAAATCATCAGAGGTCACCATGTATAGAAACAAAAACAAGAAGTAGTACTTTCAAGTTTTATATATATTGCACATTTGTTAAGAAAATTAACGTTTTGATTGTATTCTTAGTTACTTCACATTTTCGATGTGAATATTCTACTACTCATTTTGTCTAATCTGTATTATCTCATATATCCCCAATATGTCATTCCAAGTGTACTAAGATACCTTATTACACATTCTGTCCCCCAGTGGTTCAGGGGTAAGTTTGCAGACTTATAACACTGAAAACCGGGTTTCGATACTCGTGCTGAGCACAAAACATATAGCCTATTGTGTATAGCTTTGCGCTTAACGACAAACGAGTAAACAAAGTCGTGTAATTAAAACTTTTTTCTTTCTAATCGCTACCCCCATCTTCATTATGTGACATTTTTGTTGCTAGTTTGGCATCTGTGTCTTTTCAATTCTCAAATTTCGGACAAATTTGGTATTCTCGGTTACACTGATTGCACTCAGAGTAGGGAAGTGTGTAGGACCCGCAAACACAGGAGATCTACAAATATTATATCAAGGATTGTGGATTTGTTTCTCTCTGATTCTGACTAAGTTTACGTACAAAGAAATAGAATGTACAAAAATACACATCATAATCTTTATTCAAGCACAGAGTTAAAAACAAAACAGGCAAGTTTTATAGTTTATGTGTGCGTATGTGGAACTGGAGAGCATATTTATTTGTAGTTAAAGACAAAGCTACACAATGAACTATCTGTGCTGTGCACACCACAAGTATCGAAACCCAGTTTTAACATTATATACCTTTACACTTACACACCTGTCAACACTGAGAGGTGCCAAATCGGGAGACTTTTTGTAAAGGCAACGCAACAGCGTCCCCCCATGCTCTACCAGAAAATTTAGAAAAAAAAAAGGTACACTTTTATACGTTCTGGGGAACTTCAGACATTTATTTACATTTATAGGATTGAAATGATGTTTACTTTTTTTTTTTCCATTTACAGTGGGCTTATATACCACGAGAATCACAGTCATCTGCTAATATTGTTATACGCTGTTATTGTAAAAATTGAAACAAAATACACATATTCTGATTAGTGTTCTTTGTTATATTCGTGTGTTGCACTTTTGGCATTTTTCAGTACCTGCTTGCTGGGCTTGTATTTACTGGCTGAGGAATCTGAGTTAAGCTCACAGTTTGAAAAGTCACATACTGTGTCATGCCCTAAATCAGTCCTGTTCTCTGTTACGACCTTTCTCACCATTGAAAATGCCCTTTCACTCGATGCATTGGAATGTGGCAAAACAAGCAGACAGTATAACACAACAAAGTATAACAATGTCACACAAAATGAGTAAATATTTACTTTATCCTGGTTGGCACTCTGTGAAGTTGAATTTTGCGACTCTATTATGTTTGTTATATTATTAAAAAGGTTGCATGTCGGGAGATCGGGAACTCCCGCCGAAATCGGGAAAGTTGACAGGCCTGCACTTACTATTGTGCCAATGGGAGGGGAACAGGAACTGGAGAGAGATTAACTGAATATTCTTAAGAGTTAAAGTTCGGTTATAGTCAAAGATCTTTAACTTAGTTTATTTCACGTTGAAGAAGTTTAACCCTTAATTTCAAATCTTTATAATTTTTTTCAAAATATATAGGAAAACCCATATTTACATCTCAGCTAAGAGCTGCAAAATCTCAACAAAATAAAGAAAATCTAGCCAAATCTGAGAAAAACAAAAAAAAATTAAAACAAAGAAAGTTTCTCTTAAACAAAAGCTGTCAAAAGCAAAGAAGACACAGTTACATGTACAACATAAATTTTCTCTAGGTGCACGTGACAGAAGGGCACTCTCAAATCAACAAGGGATGTCAAAACATCTTTCTGTTTACTACAAGAAATGATAACTAATCACTATCTCTATCTATAATGTATTATATGCTACAGAACTTTCCTTATGGGAAACACTATAACATTTTTTAGGGATTCGTTCAGTCATGTGACTAACTAAAGGTGAGAGAAACTTAATAGCTCTATATACTAAAGACGTTGTAGGTCAACTTAGAGTAAACAGAAATTTCGAAAGACTTATCTAGTAACTAAGGTGATACAAGACAAATGGTAACCTAAGGATACCACACAGGTTTTAATAGCTCTTGCGCAGCTATTGAAAGTGTTAATCACCAGTTTTATATTTTCTGTTAATTCCTGAAGAGGTGACAAAAAGGACTAGCTGTTTTTTTGATTTTTTCTTGAATAGGAGAAAATAATGAAGATTTATATCATTTATCATTGTTAAATTCAGGCATCTTTATATTATGTCCGATTTTCCTAAAAGGTTTTCTAAACCATTTATTTCAGCTTACAACATTAGTTTTATGTGTCTGGAATCCCATCAGATGAACTGGAAATAATTTTTTATGGGTTGAAAATCAAGCAAGATAGAATAAGTATATGTAGTTGAAAACCAATATTTGATTTGTATAGTGTTAACTTTCATTTCATCTGCTTAGATTCAAACATGTTGTTTTACATTTACATAGAGCCAAAGAGATTTGTTCTTTCTGTGTAACAGTGGATTTATTTGAAATGTGTGGAATTTAACACACCTGTCTATGCAGAGTAG